CCACCGCCACGGTTCAAACCCAGGACCTTCTGGTTACAAGGCTAGCGAGCTCGTAGACCATTGAGCCACTGGGACCCGATCCAATGGCCCATGAATTCTAGCTTCTGCCAATTCACGACATCGCGCGACCATTTCGCAATGTCTTCTTCGATGAGTTACTGCCTCATCTTCAACCTGATGAAGAGGCCCAAACTAGGACGTAACAGCTGTCCAGTACTCCTAGGTTTCCCAGTGGTTCTCTAACTGATTACAGCTCATGATGTTATCCTCCATGCAATCAAACAAAAATCCCTACAAAACCAATACTTGAAAATATTAGAAACGGTGATCATGATGGTCATGATTAGAGTATCCCGATGAAAGATATTAATTAACAATATTGTCTACCGGTTATGATATCAATTGTCTATACAGAAGCTTCTTTTTACCAGTGGAAAACGAAAGCATTGATTAAACAGTACCCCTAGTGAATTATAAAATCTCAGAAAATACCGTTAACAGTGATCATTTATGGTCACAACATTATTTTATGCATCTAAATAATGTATGAAATTCTGGACTGGCAAGTGGTGTAAGGAAAATATAGTTTGACTTCTTTTTCCCACTCCGTGAGTTCCAAGTGGAACATAGCGCTTCAAGGTTCACATCAAATCTTCTCCCTTTCCGGAGCTTACAATTGGCTAGCGAACTAGGTGAGGTTTAGCAATGAGTCGGGTTGAAGTGAAATCCGGATAATGTGTGTTGTCGACGAGGATTCGGTCACTGAGCCACTGATGCATATGTTTTGACAGTTGGTGATAAGAAAATAACCTATGAAAGGCTCAGCTTCCCTAAATTTTGTTCAGGGTGTGATCACGATTTGATGTCACTTGGAGAACCACTGGAAACTAGGGAGTACTGGACAGCTGTCTTGTCCTAGCCTAGGCCTCCTCAGTAGTACGCACCCACTAGGGTTCTGACCTAAGACCTCCCGGCTACAAGGCAAGCTGGGAGGGAATCCAATGTCCCATGAATTCCAGCTTCTGCCATTTTGAGATTTTAGCGCGATTGCTAACCAGTTTCACTGGTCAGCCAGGACCTTTGACCGAAACTCTAGGCAACTTCGTTCCGTAGCCAGTCACTACCGAGCCAGTACTTTCAGGTTTTCAATGGTTCTCTATCTGGAATCAATTCGTGATCCAACTTGAAGCAAATCAAATTCGTGCAAAACGAACTCTTCAAAATCTTCTGGATTGTTTGCTAGTTAGTCCTTGTTAGTTAGGCGTGTCTAAAACCTGAATGAAGAATATACGAAGAGGAAATAATAGATTGTGAGCAGTTGTTGAGCCAAGTGACATTAATAACAGAAAATTGAGTCCAGTAGAAATGTCAATCTGAGGCCAAATATTCTACTCAGAACATGAGAATTGAAAAATTATTATCACTAATGAATGATGTTCCTAATTGTGGTGGATTGGATTATGCGTCAGACAGTGGGAAACGAGAAGACAGGGATATCCTGGACTGACGTGAAGAATCTAGAAGACATGGATTTCGCGGATGATTTATGTTTGATGTCACACAAAATTGAAGACTCACAAGCGAAAACCGACAAACTGGTCGAAGAAGCAGCAAGGACAGGACTCTACGTGAACATAGAGAAGATGGAGGTTATGAAAATAACCAACAAACAACAACAACAACAGCAGAAACATTCAGCGCCAATCACCATCAACGGGAGGGATTTGAAAGAGGTTACTTCATTCACTTATCTGGGGACCATTGTCTCAGCTACAGGAGGAACGGGAAGGCGAGAAACACATTCATCAACCTGAAACCAATCTGGAAATCTTCGTCACTCAGCCTGTATCAACAACAAAATTCGGATTTTCAATACAAACGTCAAGTCAGTCAGTTCTTCTATACGGATCAGAAACTTGGCGAGTCACAAAGAATATTTCCAACAGCCTGTTGCAGACCTTTATCAACAGTTGTCTTCGCTCAATACTGAAGATCAGATGGCTGGAAAGAATCACCAACAAGAAAGTATGGGAACAAACAAAACAAGAACCAATCGCTCAACAAATATGCAGGAGAAAGTGGAGATGGATTGGACACTCGCTGAGTAGGCCGCTGGGTGATATCGCGCGTCAGGCCAGTGCTCGAGTGGGACCCTAAAGAGGAGCAGCTAGTGGGACGTCCAAGGGTGACATGGAGGAGATCGTGTGAAGAGGAATGGAAACAGTATGGAATAACATGGATGCAGTTGGTGAAAAGTACAGCAGAAGACAGAAGCAAGTGGAGACGTGCAGTTGAAGCCCTATGTTCCACTAGGAACCCAAGGGAACAATAATAATAATAATCTAGCTTCAGCGTACATTAATACATCCTAAAAACCTGACATGTCAGCTTTCACATCGCGAATCCTTTTTGAAGTGGTTTTGCAGATAGATTAGGACCAGTAGACAGGTATTAACTTTAGTATAACCTTTTACACAATGATTTGATTTCATTTAAAGGCGTCAACAATTCAAGAATCTCAGGTATTTTATGCTATCAACTGCAAGAGATTATAAATTTCATAACATTTATTAATGAATATATATCACGAAACTGATAAACTTATCCTATCATAGTGTGATTATTATTTACACTGAATAAATAAATGATTTTTAAACCAAACTGAATGTAATAACCTCCTATTTTAATATGAGATAAGCACTGAATTCCCTTTGAAGCATATTTTTGCCTATAAAACGTATAAATATATATTCAATTCAATTGTAAATATTGCATGTTATAGCGTAGTCTGTTGCTATTGACAGTACAGTGTGGAATCAGTAAAGTAGATGTCCATTTTCTGGAGTTATTATTATCATTATTATTAACCAATTGTCCAATATAATATAACCATAATATCTTCACAAATAATACTAACTAATTGATTCTTATAAAGGATAAAATATATATATATATTTCCACTCCTTAATTTAGAAAAAGAAAAAAAATAGAGTAAACATTCGATTTGTGCGTTGAATGAAACAGTATGACAACCGGTATTGTTAATCCCACTCCACTTCTTTTCTACAGAATTCCTTCAGATGTTTTTATATATACATACATTTTTTTCTACTCTTGTTTATCTGTTTGTTGTACAAAAAATATGAGAAAATGATAAGATTCAATTTTAGATTTGAGAGGTTTCATCAAGTTGAATAATAAGAATGGAAGTTTCATTTTTTTTCCCTTTGAATAATAATCGATCAGTTATTTGACTTGTTTTTTTGTAGATTATGTAACCGCTTTTCACTAGCAGCGCCATCTACTTTAAAATTTTCAATGAAATTTGATTCTACGCCCTCAATAATAGCACTATCGAATTATTTAAGATTAAGCATTTCATTTGAATATAAGCATGTCTTGTGAGCATGAGTTTGCATTATTTATGATCCTCTAAGCGATTCCTTGTTATTAAGGAATACATGAGTTCATAGATGGTGTCAATGGAATACAGTACCATCATACTCTTCAAAGTCTGTAGTCAAAACCATCCTGATATACAATAAGCTAATACCACTTACCAACCTCTAGCGAGAAGACAATTTTTGTTGACCAGTACCAATTTGTTCATACCATTTGAACAGATTTTATAAACAATTAACTGTATCAAAGTGATGTTTTGTGTGATTTCCTACTCCCTTGAACTAAACGGAACTATGAGTGACACTGTAATGTGGAACACTCAATGAAAATAAATATTCAAACTGTGAAATCAGCTGAAACCTGGACACTAATGTGTCAGATAAACACACATCGAGAAAAAGAGGTTTTGAAAGCCTGATAAAGTCAAATGCAGGAGTAAAATCTTATTGAAGAAATAAGGACTTTCACCAGTTTGAAAGGTACATATAATTTGCGGTACCAACTTAGGTACCAAATCAGAAGACCCCAATGAAATCACAAAGAAAATCACCTCAACATCTTGAAAATCACTGCAAGACGTTTCAAACCTTTAGGAATTGATGTCACACACAAGCCAACAAAATCACTCAATTCAACTGGCTCTGTGTCAACCAAAAGACTCAACAGCGAAAGAAGATAAAATCAACATCATCTGCAAAATAAGTTGCAATGACTGAGACGGAAACACTACTTTGTCCAAAATGGACGTCCTCTTCGTCTTCTTTGCATCCATGATCACAAACTAGCCACCAAAAGACATGATATCTACTCCCTCATATCACTGCATACAGACATCAATTCGATTGGGCAACCAATGTTCAAATATTAGACAGAGGTAACACCAAGAATGCTAGAGAATTTTTAGAAGCCTGGTATTCCAGTGAATCGTCAGTTAATAAACACATTGACATAGGCAAAATCTACAGATCGATTAGAAAGAAATCTTATACACAAAGGGTCAAACTTCAGGTCAAGGAAACAATCAACACCAATACAAATACAAGTAGTCTAGAGGGTGTGGAAACACACAAAAACAACCAATCTCGTTCAAGATCCCAAGGAGAGATGACTTATAAACTCGTGGAAAAATCTAAAAGCCCACTTACAAATTGAAGTATGCGCTGAAGATGTTGCCTAGTAGGTCAATGAAAGCTTCGCAAACAGACCATACAGCTCAGGGAACACAACTATATCAAAATATTTGTTATTGCATGGCTTGATTCTAGTTGATTAAACTGAGTAGTGGAAAGCTTTTTCTACGCAAAAATATAAACTAAAAGATATATGTCAGTGAAGAACATTCTTTTTGTAAATGCATTTCAAAGCTATGCAGTTATATAATATTCACAGAGGTAACAGAACTGTCTATAAAGATCGCTTGTCAACATCATTTGGTAACAAAACATACACAATAATTTCGGGTGACTAACACGTTAAATAAGTAAAGAGAATATGGCGAACAGTTTAAATTCTCAAAATATTACACTTTGTCAATTCATTCTTTTGCTTTATAATTGCTTATATTTTCTTTATTTTTGTTCTTTCTCCCTTTTGAAAAGCTTTCTAAATTATCTAACACTATTACACGAATTGGTCGCGTTTGTCAACATGATCAAGGCTTAAGCATATCAGCCTCTGTTCTTCCTAATGCAGGTGGTGTGTTTACAACATTTCGAAAGACTAGACTTGCTTGTCGTGCATATTCACCTTTGAATAATTATAAAAAGTATGAACATCGATATGAAAACAAAAAGTATGCACGAGATACTAAAGAGGAACAATTTAATGAATATGAAACTATGGGTGAAAAAAATTACTTGGAGTTCAATCGAGCTATTGCTGTTAGTGAAATTGTTCCGACAAGTAAGGCACAGTAAATATTGAAATAAAATTCTAATTATTCACACTTCTTCAGCATTTATTTTATTCCATTAAAGGTCATTTTAGTCCTTTCTTTTAGAAATAAAGTTGTCACATCTATAAAGTTAATTATACTGTCAATCACCAGGTATTTATTGATGAAAATAGATGAACTACGTGAAGATGTTAAAAGTCAGTTGATTGGAAGCAGTGAAGTCAGGTCTCTTGCTCAGTAGGACCCATCACTAAGGCTTATTTGAGAACTTAGTGAAAGTCATATTTCCCTGAATTACTCATTGTGAAAGTTAGAAACCTTACCCCCTAAAGAAGTCATCCTTTAATGCCTGTTAAAGTGCTATCCAACTGGCTCCATCTTTTGAATAGATATGTTATCCGGCCACAGATCAAAAGACGTGTATACTGAGAAGCAGTTCACTGTGTCCTCCTTAAACAGCTGTGAGATATGGCCATTGAAAGTGGAGGATTTGAAAATGCTACAAGTGCTTGAGTTCTGTCTGTTGTGTTAAGTGATATATTGTGGTAAATAACATTGAGTTTAAAAATAGAGTGAAGTTACATCAGTTGAGATGGCTATGAGACGTGTTACGCATGCCAAGTGATAGTCTTCCTTAATTATTTAATTCAATTTTAGATTTTCCCGTCGATTGATTGGACTGAAGTGCTCGGTCTCAGGTTGACATGTCGGCTTCTTGTGCAGATACTTTGACGATGTCTGGGCATGTAATTAGAAGTTAATTGGTGGATGGTGACTAGCAGTGGAATCCAGGATGCGCATTTCGTCCTATTTTGGACTCGTCAGGTAGATGTGACTGCATTCCGCAGTGAGTGATGATGTTCCCACCGAGGCTCGAACCCAGTGCAGGCATATCCAGATGACGAGTCCCAAATAGGACGAAATGCGCATCCTGGATTCCACTGCTAGTCACTATCCACCAATTAACTTCTGATAGTTTTCCTTGTCCTGCAATGTTAGCTGACATTGACATAGGTTGGGAAAGAGTTAGGGCTGGTCAAATCAGAACCTGGCAATAATTCATGAAGTTTTTGACTGTTCTTTTGACTGCCTGGTTGAAGGTTTTGAGAATCCAAGAACCAAAGGCTTGAGACTGTTGGTGAAATGAGCTGTTAATAGTTTTAACTACACCTTTACTTAGCCATAGTGGGAGATGTTCTGGAGCAGGAAAAATCAAGTTCCTAGAGCAACGGCCAATATAACTCGCTCCACAAGCTCAGTTGAATTGGTAGATAAAATTTGAAGTGGCTAGTCTAGGGACTTCATCCTTCAGTCTAGGTAGCTTAGTAGAAGAATAATTCAGTGCGTGTTCACAAGCCTATAAGTTATGTTTCTAATAATGTTTTCGCTAAACACCATGTCAAATATATAATTAAAAAGTATTTTAAACTAAGGAGTCGTAAAGCTTCAAAGTATCTGATAAAGAATGAACTACTGTATGTAGCATCTTAGTCTACCAGTCATCAACATATCAGTCATTTATAACTTGGAGATTGAGATCAATTCATCTGATATGGAGGATAACACACATCTGATATAATGATTCAAATAACTGATCCATCTATTAGAATGATGGAATCTATTATTCACGTCGGTGGCATAGTGGTAGAATGCTCACCAACCATGCCTCATGTGGTTCAGAGTTCGATCCCCGGCCAACGCACTCCTAAACCTCGCTAAGCCAGTAATAAGACCGGTGAAAAGGGAAGGTGGGGCATGAGGCTAGCAACCCCGTCCTGTAAAAATGAATACCACTGCTACCGAAACTTCTAAGCTTTAGCTTGAAACCCCATGTTCCACTGGGAATGTATAGGAATAAAAAGAAACCTATTATTGAGGCATTGATCATTCTGAAATCCTTTTGGAACAATGCATAACACCTATTCATTATCTAAACCTGATTCTCTTTAATGAAGTTAATTATATGAAAGATTTGTTTATACAGAATGACTGGCCACAGCAGAAACACGGTTCAAATCGTCATTAAATTCAAGTTACTAGTATTGAATTATTTTTTTCAAACAGCTGTTTCACTGACTAGGCTATTTATCTCTTAACTTAATTAACTTTCTCTTTCTACTAATTTAGTCTACCCTAGACAGACTAATATAATTGCGTCAACCACCTACTTAATATTTAACATAGAAGAAGAAAAGGTATACCACCACATCACCTGCACTATACTGACGTGAAAGTCAATGATCATATCGAAACAGAGTATGACTGATACGTTTTTTCTCTCTAAATATACCTGGTATTCCTTTACTATAAGGCTTTTTCCCTCACCTTGTGACAATAAAAAACTGTTTCGATCTTCACATAGTGAATAGTATGGTAAAGTGTTGTAAATAGTCACGTGGTCAATGTATTAATAAACAAGGTGTTTATGATGTAAGCATACAATTGCATACTTAGCGAGAACCTTAATGAAATGAAACCAGTACTCACCATCGGATTGGTGGACGTGGAGCGGAGTTGAAAGACGAATTCCAAATCAGGCTCTAATATACAAAATCAATGAATCGAGTATGAAGTTGTTTCAGTCAGAGGTAACCATGAGAATGTAGCTGCCCAGGTTGCTGGACTGCCTTTTAGATCAAAAGCTCGAAGGTTTTTTCTATAAGAGAAACATCTTATCAGTGTCTAAACACTTCGGCAAAACATTATTTGGCATTGCTTACTAATAAATGTGCAACAATTTATTGTTTTTCGTTGTATAAACTCAGTAACTTGTACTAATTAGACCAGAATTTATAGTACTACTAATAATACTACTGAATAAAATACTTTTTGAGTAAAAACAACACCCAATTTCCGATTTGTAAATCCTTCCATTTATCAGTTTTATTATTTATGAAAAGGAAGTACAAGGAAGGAAACGACCGCTTTGGGTTAAAATTATATCAAACAAGTGGTTGTAATCCTCCACTTTTTTCTCTCTTTGATAATAAGAATTAAACAATTCTTTGAAGTGTATATTATCTTTGTTCAATGAACTTTGGTGTAGGTAGTTAACAAATGTTAAGTCTTATGATAATTACCTTGGCGTCTTACTATGTAAAAGCACATAATGATAGCAGAATATTCAAATAATGAACTTAAATACTTCAAGTATATTTTGAAATAGGCAAATAATCTTTTATTCCAATTTTTCTCAAGTTGCTTGATCTCCAGGTCTGCTTGGTCCCCTTATGATTAGGATCATAGAAACTATATTAGTCACGCTAAACCTGCTGTGATTATCACAGTAAAATCCATTAAGAAGAAATTTAACATTATAACTGCATGAAAAATTAGAAGGAAGGGTACGAATTGTGAAAAACGTGATCGTCTTTTTCAGTCATTTCTAGATTCCCTTCAAGCGTGTGAGTAGTATGTTAACTTCATGTTGAGTCATTCAGCTTATTTATTCTTTAAAAATGTACTAACATGCCTTACATATCAAAAATTCTATCAACTTAACTTCCACGTAAAAAGAAGAAATAAAAACAAAGAATTCAGAGAAGAAAATTCTCATTTTCACAACTGTACAGTCATATATATAGTTAACTTTAAAAGTGAGTAGAAGTGTGGCGTGTGCTACTGGTAAGATTTATCAGTAGTATATAAAGAGACGTTCGTCGGCATAAAAAAATCAAATACCAGGGAGATACATTTCACGTCAGAGAAAGTAAATAATAAATCGTTGCGGAGAAATACGGGAGGCATGAAAAGAACACAAAGAAAAATAAAATATGAAGGCGAGAAGTAGCACAATACGGATGACGTGTAAAGATGCTGTGGTGCAGATATGGTGAAGATAATTTTGCCATATAGCGATACCTAATTGCAAATAAGCATTCCTTTACGAAGTCTTCCGTCGTCTGCCGTTACAGATATACTCAAGTGCTATAATATTGGTGCATAGGATTATGAGTCACAATCGATTAGATATATGAATGAACCAACTAAATAAACAGAGGTCAACCTAATGTTCAATAGACATGTGTGAAATAGATGATCGAAAAAAACAAAGTGCACTCGGAAATGTGAAAATAATGTGAATATCATATAATGGGGGCAAAGGATGAGTGAAATGTTGTCAAAATAATAGACTAGATAAAATGTTAGAATATGACAACATAAAGTGAAATTAAAACAAAACAATGCAAAATGGAACATGGAATAAAGAAGGATAACAAAGATTTTTCTGAAATGTGAATTACATAGTAAAATCAAGACCGTGGTAACGAAACAGATCGCACAAATTGTTTTTGTACACAAATTTCTGGCTTTACGTTATATTTTGCCAAAGCCTTCACTATACAAAGCAAATGCACTCGTGACCCTGTTGGCAAGCTTTGTCAGACTTTGTGGACTATGTTAAACGATATGTCATATGCTGCATGGTCAGTATCTACAATATGTTGCAATATCAATGAATTAATACCCCTAAGTTCTCCTTTGCTTAGCCAAACTAGGAGGTGCTTTCGAACACGGCGGGATATTGTTCTTGACTAACATCCTATGCACCTAGCTCCGCAAGAGCAAGTGAACTTATAAATACACATCGAATTAGACAATCGGCATTAAGGTACACCAGTGGACGGCTAGAGTAGGTTATTCGTAGGGTGGTAGCAAAGAACGTTTTTCTCAATGATCTCGTCAGACGCTTTTTAAATAGCTCACTCACAGTGTCACCCCTAAATTCTAAGTTTAGGTGGAATACTTTTTTAGCTACCTTATCAATCTCTATATTTCTTCCACTTAATGTGCTACTGACCTGTACGGAAAGTAGTGGATACCCGTTCTCTATGAAGGTTCCTTTCACTTGTTTGAGTTCATTATCAACAATGTCTTCAGTACAAACTCTCCGTACCCTTGTTGAGAGATAACGGATTAGATTCCTTTTTCTGTCTATGGGGACAAAACTGAAAAACTGGTCAGTTTTCCTGTTCATATCGATTTTCTGTAAATAGATCTTTTCAAA